CCTTAAATGAAGATTTTTTTTCTAAATATATTCTTTATATGATCTTAAAGACTTAAGCGACTTCTTTTCATAAATCAAAGGTTAAGCACTTTTTAAAAAATACTGGGGGGAAAAAAGCTGTAACTTCCTAAAAACAGTCTACGTTTAAATAAATTTACCACTATAAACCGCAGTTAGCCTTCCATATACACAATATATAAACTTGCATTTTTCATATGCCACTACTCAGCGGTGGCTTGAAATATGAGTGCAAGAAAGAATAAATCTGCTTTGGTAATTCTTTTTTGCCTAATTAGAATTCATGTTTGAAACCAAATTGAATTTTCCTGTGTTATGGTTTTTATTCCTGGATAGAAGATAAAAAGCACAGCAATGAACTACCAGGAGGTGGGAGTTATTACTCTGCTATTTCTCTAATTAAGCTATCATTTTTAAACAGAAGAAACTTTTGAATCATCATCTAAATCATATTTTCAGTTCATTCTAATTTAGCTTTTATTGCTTAATTTGTCTGTGTTATTTTTTTAGGAGTTTTTTTTTGGCTAAGTTGATCTGAACTGATCTGTATGATATTTTTCTTGTTTCAATGTTAAAATCAAGCTTTTTCTCACCATAATAGCCTGATACTATAACTATCTTTATTTTAGATAAACATAAGTATAAGAAATATAGCATATTTCAGTTTTTAATGCAACATTTATTGCACAAGAATCATGAGAAATGGTTTAATGCTTTTATTTTAAGTCTGGTTCTATGAAACCTCTGTTCACAGGAAGCACAAGCAGGGAAGTTATGATGTTTTTGACAGCGTTTGATACTTTTAGATTGTATGTAACTACTTCTAATATACCAATTAGAAATACACTTAAAATAATGGATGATTCTATGAAATTTATCTTATAGTTGTCAGAGTGACAGAGAAAGACAAAAAACACACATTACCTGTTGTCTGCATTAGACTTTGTTCCTCGAAATAGATCTTTATTCTTCTGATTCTCATTAACCCTAGCCAGAAAAAAAAAGATAGAGAAAAAAAATATTTTTTTTTTCTTGTCCTCCCTTAAATGCAGTTCCATATTGTGAAACTTTATTTTCAAATATGTTAATGTACAACATTATTTTTGTCTTTCTTATACAATAGCTACATTCACAAGAACATTGGCTGACAGATTGACCTGGGTGATCTGCTGCTGAAGCAATAAGGAGAAGGAAGAATAAGGAGGCTACCTTGTTGTTCTGCTCATACTGCATGTTAACACCTCAATTAAGTCTGTCTTTCTACTGCTTCTCATATATACAGTAATTTATAAGATAATATATGGGGGACTGTGACAAACATTTAATATATGCAATTAGCCTACCATTTTTAGGCATAGTTTTCTAAAATATTGTTTGCAAAATAACCTTTTCTTAAATAGCCAAATTCCATAATCTCTTTGTTCATCCAAACATTAAGTTAGGGCTGTGATTATAATGAAACCACAAAAAATTTGATTTGTATCGCAAACCTAAACAACTTGGTTCTTGATCAACACCAAAGACAGAGATGATTCTGCATTTCAAAATGTACAAACAGAAGAACATCCAAAAATATATAATTTGACGACTCCCATTTTTTTGTTGTTGTTAGTATTGCTTTGTAATAATGAAAATAATATAATAATAAAAATATAACGATGATATATTTTGTGACCTTTTCTCTGTTAGCTAATCATGTGTATTATACGTAGCATATGAAATATCTTTATTATTTTGTCTAAAAAGATAGCAATAAAGCGATTTGATTGGCATTTAGCTTCTTACATGACTACACCTCTTCTATAACAGGACTTTAAAATTGGGTGCATACTTAGTAACCAGCCTATTGACTGTTAAGCCGTGCAGAATAGAAGAATCTGGGAGACCAGGGTATAGCTTTGATACCTCAAGATGGCTGGTGACCCAGTTGTTTATATTAACATTATGCAGTGGCTCTATATTATAAATACCATAATCAGAGGGGCAGCCAGAAATTTTTTTTTGAAGGTGGCCAAGCAATAACCAATTTACACTAAGGGTGGCCGAAGATAGGCACCAAATCCTCAAGGTCAATCTCCACTGTTCCAACAGGAAAACATACATATTTTCTAAATAAAGACAAACTATACTTACCCACAGCCTTTGCTAACAGATAGGCGAATATATTCAAACATTTGTGCTTTCTAGATAAAAGCGGATCAAAATCTTTCATGTTTGAATTTTGGGCAAACAACTTTTCCATTGTCATTACTTACCTATTTTTATCAGTAATCATTCTGCATAAAATTGATATTTACAAGTACTAATATCTACATAAATTGATTATTTAGTAAGTTTTTATTAAAATAGTTATTTATCTATGGTTTTACTGAAGACTCCTAAATTACTTGCAGAGACACTATCTTTTTACCCCATAATACACAAAATCTATTTCTGCTTGAATTCTGTACTTATCATCTTTAATGTTAGTATATTGATGTGCATCATTAACCACTGTGTTTTTGTTGTCAAGTAATTGATAATATAAAAAATTTAAATGTTTGGAATATTCCACTTGAGTGTATTACTGCTGCCACTGTCTATATTAGAGGGGAAAAATGGTAGGGGTGGCCGATGATTGGCTAAGGGTAGCCATAGCCACCCCTGGCCCCCCATCTAGCTCCGCCCCTGATAATAATACACCATATTTGGAAATCAGAAAAAGTCAAAAGCACATTGTACATTAACTTTTAAGGCAAGCTAATTTGAAAGTACCTTGAAACAAAATGACCATCAAATAGAAACAATTCCCTGCAATATATTATTTATAACCTCGTTGGATTTGATTCAATGCAAAACAATATGAAACTGACCATTACTTGGAGATGCATCCTCTAACAGATAATGTTTAGGTATTTTGACATATTTAATGCCTTTTTTTTAAATCTCCATTCAATTTTAACAAATTAAAGATGTGTTAAAAAGGATTGTAATGTGCATTATATAGTGGTTATGCATTCTAGTCTGGAAGGATGCATCCATATTATCGTATAATTCGCATAAACAGTTGAAATCCCAAGGAAGGCATATAAAATCCAGAATAATTTACTTTGACATTATGCTCAGGTCGCATATTCTAGGGAGATGTATAAGAATTAATTTACATAATTAGGGTTAGTGAGAACTATTGAGGAGCACCACAACTTTCCTCAGGAGCAAATGAAATGATAACACCCTATAAGAACAAACTAATGCTGCTCCCAGGGCATCGTTTTAGAAGATTTATTGAGCCCTAAAGAGAAATATAAGCTCAATGCATGTATGCAAACGTTTAGAAGACGGTGCTTTAGTCAGAGAGACTAAAACTTAGCTTTTTGGAAAACATGCAAAACATTATGTAGATAAATTATCTCTGCACATCATAATGAACACACAATCCTCCCATTTGAAAAGCACTGGTTGGAGCATCTCACCAACTCTCACCACTTTACTGGTGAGAGTTGGGGTGCAGATGGAGATAGAATACAGAGAGAAAAGATATGACAGCAAAGGACATGATACTTGGACTGAAGTTTACCCCCCCTCCTCAGCATTTAAGTATCCTTAAAAACATTCCCAGAACGAAAATGATATGGTTCAGACAGGATCATGTGAATTGCTCCAGATTAAATGCTCTTCACTCCAGCTGAATTTTAGCTACTTTGCACAAAAGAATGCTAAAAACTGCATGCCATGTTAAAAGCTAATGGCTTAAAAGGCGGCAGATGTGAAGCTCAAGTTCAGTTATTGTCTTATGGAGCTGGATACAAATGCTTGACACTCTTTCTAGTTTGCTTTTCTATCATTAACCAATTACACACTCTATGTATGTGTGTTTGGTTTGCAATACCCTCTAAAAAAACAAAACAAAACAAAAAAAGGGGGCTGTGGTAACATGATGTAAAATACCTTGAGGGGTGTGATGATGGGATGTTCCCCGTATGTTGTGGGCCTTCAAAAGAACTTTCAACTTTGCCCGTCGGATGAGTGGATCGACTCCAAATCATTTCACAGACCCGATCAAAGTCATCTCTGGGTGCGCTTGGATGAATCCATGTGTAGCGCGGAAATGGAGCAAGTGCGCTGGAGCGTGTTTTGGCAATAAATCGCTTCCAAGGATCTTCCATCATTGCTTTTCTTGTTGTTTTATTTGAAACGGACTCCTGTAAAAGTGTATGTTGGTATTTTCTTTTCTTTTTTCCCGTTCTTAACGCGCGTTATTTGAATGAGGAAAGGCGGACGTTAGGCGTCTTCTCGCTGCCATGGAAACGATATTTAGTTCTTGACGCATTACTTTGAAATATTGGATTTAAGCAGGAGGATCCTGTGTGAAAAAACTTTTTTTTAATCAATTGCATTCTGAAAGTGTCCTAACTGTAAGCTTCTTCATACCTGGACAAGGTACAGTTGGGAAGCTTTCCTTTGAGAGAAAAAAAAAACAAAAGTTATTAATAAATGCTGGGTGGGGGTATTCCAGCACATATCACGTATACCCAGGAATACTGTTTGATGCAAAATCTAAATTTACTGAGAGTGAGTTGGAGTTCCGGCTAGTTAAGCATCAATTTCACGTGTAATAAGCAGAATTGGACATACTAGGTGAAACTGCCCGGCGGTCCACTCATTGGTTTTAATGGATGGACACAATTACTCCCAAGACAAGCCTTAATCAGACCAGGAAGAACTGAATGCTTTAACTAATAATAATAATAATAATAATTATTATTATAATAATAATATCTGTCATACAGCTATTAGAGTAGGGGATCTTCAATATATTCCAAATATTTTCTGAACTGTGGGCGATCTAGAAGAGAGAACAGCGAGGAGTTGGATGGAGAGGGGGAGAGAAAGAGGCGGGTGGGCAGACGCTGAGGAGAGAGAGGCGCGCAGAGTGAGGAGCAGGTCTGCAGTCTGAATCTTGGCGTCGCGCAGACCCGAGACGACGCTTCGTGGCTACTCGCTGCGATAGATGCTGGGATTATCACAGACAGAGCCACCACATCCTCCGATCACTGACTGTACCCGCTTCGTGACTGGAGTCAAAAGAAACTTCTCCATACGATCGAAGGAGATCTTTCCTTGGATCCATGGATCATACCTTGACAGGCGCTCTATGAATCTCAGTCTAATGACAGGCTGAAACGTGGATTTACTGGAAGTATAATCGACCAAATAAAGGAGGGAAAAAAAAACTGAGATAGGCTACATCAGTTGGATTTTGTACAGTCACATTTTTGGAGCGGAGGAGAGATTTTTTTTATTTTCTTTATTCATATTTTGGGGGTCTTGGGTAAAGCATTGGGCCAATTGGCTTCACTCTCCTACGGTTTGCCTTTTAGGTGCATATTCTATCTAATCAGAGAGAGACTCTGAACCCCTTTGGTCCCCCGCATGACATGGTTCAGTCCAGCTGTGAGATCCGAGCCTCCTCCATGCATTGGGATTTTTCTCAGTTCCGACACCTAGTGAATCTCCCTTTTCTGAGCATCTGAGTACTCATCGTGCCTACCAGAAAAAAGGAAAAAAAAAGGAAAAACAGCCCCTGCCATGACCACCACTTCAAATCGGGACGGAGCACCGGGACTTGTAAGGAGAGTGGAACCCGAATGCCGAAAGGGGGGTGATGGCAATCCTATTTCAGCTCTAATGAAAGCAGGAGCTCCGGCGCGCTTTTATTGGAATCGGGTGCTGCTCCTCTACATGGGGCTCTTGATGCTGGTCACCACTGTTGAGGGTGAGTCCCCCCCTCCTCCTATCTTTACAGCTGAAGACGTGTAAGAAATGCAGCAGGCTTTACCCCCACACTCCACCGCCCACTCTTTCCTCCACATCATCTGTCCCTGACTGAATACAAATCAGCATCAGCACCCCGCGCGCATAGAAGCATCCTAAAACTAAATTTAGGGGTTCAGTAACGGTATGATGTCGCTGTTCAACCATATAAAGTTGTGAAAAAGCTCACTGGCTATTCTGATGGCAGCTGATCATCACTGACTCATCTAAATCCGCTTCCATCACAATACTAAATTCTCATTTTTGGGTTATATGGTCATTTTTTCTTTCTCTCCCTGTGGTAAAAGATAGTGGCAAGACAAAATTCATTTTTTTCTCCGTCATGATGATTTGTTTTTGAGGTGGAAGGAGCCTTATTATTATGCTGTTTGATGTTTGGGAGCTTGTGTGTGTTTGAGAGAGAAATGCAGAGAGATAGAAAAAATCTTCCTCTTGTGTTTTTCTTTCTAAACTTTCCTGCAAGGGTTGCAAGAGTTTATTTTAACCTATGCTTAAGTTGGGTCCCTCTTTGGGCGTGTGTGCGCGCACTTATCAGACATTTTACAGGATGAGTTTTAACATTCAACAGATTGCCATTCCTGTTCATCAGGCTATATATCTGCTGACCCCATTGTTCTCAAAAAAGGTGATGCGCATATGCATAAAATATAATAAAAAGAGAAAAAACAAAATGTCTTCTGGACATTAGAAACCTTTTTGGAGGGAGACACAAGAGGGATGTCTGGCAGAGAAAACCATCAGCTCAATCATACTGCTGGCCACAATGTGAAATTTGACATTGACTCATGAGTATGATTTTTCTTCTACCTCTTGCTTAGACAGCTCATAACCCACAAAAGAGTTTAGAAACAGAAATAGTCAGGTATCAGAAAGGTGTAATTTAGATTAAATTATTTAGATTCTGCCTATGCTCAACTCTCACTTTTTGAGAGCTGTGCTCTTGAGGCTCACTTAAAGCTCACTTCTGTTGAAATCTCCCTCGACTTGAGTGAATCCCATTCCACGTATATTGTTTTATTTGCACCCAGGGAGCTTTTATTACACCCACACCCTTCAGGTTGGCTGCCAGTAAAGGGACTCCAGCTTATTACACACGTTTTTTTAAGAGAAAAAGAGGCTTGTAACAACGTGTGCCTTGAGCGGAGGCAGTAAACCGGCTTTCATGATCCACGTTTACCGGTCCTGATGATGCTGTTGTAGCCACCAGCAGTTGCCCCTTCTTCCCATTGAGCGGCACCAGAGCCTCGCACTATGCGGAGAGGAGATAGATGGGACCTGTGGTTCATGGAATTTCCAGGCCACTTTTATTAAAGTAAAGTACAATTGGTGAATCCAGTGAGTGCCTGTATGAGCGTGCCTAAATGAGCCATTGTTTAGTCATTTTGATCGTAACGAGTCTTCCTTTGATTGCTTTCATCCTATGATATCAGAAACCACTAAGATAATTAATAAGCCAAGTCTGATTGAGTTTGACTAGCTTTCTAGACTCCCCCCCCACCCCCCAACACGTCCGTTTAATAAGTACCAATCAGCTTCCATTCATTTAAATTTAAAAGGGGAAATATTTGAAATATAAATGTAGAGCAGTGGTGGAGACGAGTAGAAGAGGGGGATAACTCGGATTCACATAACGTACATTTAATTTTTTTTTACCACCAACTTTTTTTCTTTTCTTTAGCAGTCGTTTGCTCGTGGGATTACGTCAGATCATGTACGTCACGTTTCTGCCATAAAATTGCTTCGTCATTATTATGTAACTTTAGTTATGTTGTGTTGGGTCTTGATGCTTAACATTGTTAAATCCTGCTTTCCAGTTAACTAATGTTGTACCTGTCCGCCTGCTTGTATGTATTTTATGTAGCTAATTCACACATTCAATCGTAATCCGGTTAAAACAATCAAATCTCCCACACATGAAGTTATCAATGTCTGCTTGTTAGTTGTGCAGAAAACAGCAGTAGGTTTTAGGACTGTTCAAATGTGGATGGGATTTTTAATAAACCGGAGAGCGACGTGCGCCGCAGAGCTCCTCAGTTTAGAATTTAAGGTTCAGATCAGAACCATGGACAGTTCCGCAAGAAAAAAACTAACTCCGCAGCAGCAGGAACATTATCTATGGATCTGAATAAAGGCCCTTTATCGCACGCTTTATCTGGAAAGGGTTTATAATCCTAAACAAATAGAACCTGTTAAACAATCTCCACGTTTTTCCTTTTTTTTTTTTTTTTTTGGAATTTTTGTAACCCTCTAGTCACCATGCCTTCCTATTATTTTCTATAAATTTCAACATGTTATTTTGGACTTAATTAGGTGTTGGTGTCCAGCCTATACTTTTATTTGCCCCAGTATGATTTCAATAGACTGGTTCATATGGATTTTGTTTAATGTTTTACTTCTCATCCATATTCTCTAACAATCATTTGAAAGGAAGCACAGTTCATTTTCATTTTTTTCTAAACTAAAGTTTTCTCTTGAGGGAGTTTCATGCTGCCAAAAATGGTGCCTAATTTTTTTTGTTGAAACCATAGCTGCGTGCTAATTGTTGGTCCCAATTTTGGTCCCAATCTTTAATGTCTTTAGGGCTTGACAACTTTATGGGATTTTCAAAACAACTGTAGGGTGGAAAGTTTTGGATTCATTGTAAATATTTAATGGCTGCACAAAGGTGTGGGATTCTCCCCGTGTATGCACTGTTTTTTCCCCAGGTGTGGTTTCCTTATATAGCCTGAAGCCTTGGTTAATTGGTCTTTAAATTGATACCTGTTCTCTGTGTGTGTGGAGAATGTTTTATTTATTTATTTTTGTGTGTTATATGTGCCTGTATTGTGCTGGACATAACCGGCAACCACTCCATGAGCATGTGTCTCCTTTAATTGGAGCTTAAGAAAAGCCATTACCACCTGTAATCCTGAACAATCAACAAGGTATAAGGAATGGATCTATGGATGCATTTCCACTAATCCATTCAGAATGAGAAAAAAAAACATGAGACTTAATGCTTGGTTATATGTCCCTCAGGAAAAGAAAAGCTTCTGGTATAATTCTGGTCACATTGGACACTTCTTTTAGCTGAAATGGTTGAAATTGAGTTCATTTAAAATAATAATAATAAAAAAATAATAATTTGGTTAAAGTTGACCACATGCATATGATGTGTTTTCACACCCAAAACCATTTTGTTGATCTCATTTCTTGTTTTTTTCTTATCAAGATTTTTTGGAAAAGCATGGCTGAATTAGCCATGGGTCAAGACTCCCTCAGGTAATAACAGAGCCGGTTTCACTGTGGACATTGACACCAGTATTTCAACACCTTCTCCGCTCATTCTGACCTCTATACCTGTTAAGAATTTTTTTTAAATGTATACACTGATCAACCCCATTTCAGCCAAAGGCGACAAAATAGCTCAAATGGTTTGAACTCAGACAGGAATTATTTCCCCCCCTTTTTTGAAAATGGCTTAGTCAGACTCCAAATGAAGCGAGACCATTGCTCTTAATAGTATTTCGGCTGCTCCAACAGACCAAAAAAACATCATCAAAGCAAGATTTCCTCCTGGCAAATCAGACCAGGTTCCTTTTCTGCTTTTTCTCTTGCTATCTCTGCAAGGTTGTTTTGAGGCTACACGCTGGGACATACTCCACCAGGCTCATGGAGATATTTATACTATAAATAAGTGTGTGAATTACTGTAAAAACATGTATGTGGACAACACTATCCCCTTCAGAGGAGTAAAATAATTCTCCATTAAACATTCTGGAAGAAGGAACAGCTAAAGGGACGGAAAGCCTGCAGGGGAAAGAAAGGAAATAATTTGGGAGTACATAGAAGCACTTTTAACTTAAAAGTTGAGATAACAATAGGCATACAGGAAGAATGTTGAAAGCAATCTCCAGCAGAACAATATAAGAGAACTGTGTCAACCATTAAGAATATAACATGCTTCAAGCTAATTTTGATCACATAGACTGAATTCTGGATAAGGCCACTCAACTGATCACATTCTTCAATAGGTTCCATTTTGGAACAAGCTCAGTATCCTCTCCCAACTCCAGTCAGACACATCTCTCAACCTCCCTTCAAGCACAACTTTGTTGTCAAATTTCAAATCTTTTATTTCTTACATTTCACATGTGTCTTTCTGGTTCTATATCTCTGTCTTAAACCAAATAAGACAATGTCAGTGCTTACTTGTTAGGCTTTTAAGATGACCTGAAAAGGCAAGGCTGTACATCCAGATGGTGTCAGCCTCAGAATCCTTAGGGCCTATGCAGAACAGCTTCATAAAGTCTACCCAATCATAAGCCTTTCAGTGCTTTGGAAGACATCCTACATTGTTTATCGAACAATGTAGCAGTAGTCCACAATTACTGCAAAACTATTGGTGCATATTGAATCTGAGCGGCTACTGATGTAAGTATGGCGTAGCTGTGGTTATAGAGGCTTGTGGTTGTCTTAACTGGGCTTCTTGCGTAATTAATCTCCGTATTCACTAAGGCCGCAACTAACGACTATTTTACAAATTATTTAATCTGTCAATTATTTTCTTAATTAATTGATTAATAATCGGATAGCCAAAGATTCTTTAAAGAAGATTTTTTTTAATGAAATTAAACAAGGCGAAAGAAAAACTTTTCCACTTAAGAAGTTTTGGACAGAGCTTGTTGACAGACTAAAACATTTTTTTATCCTAAAAATGCTACATTTTTACATAACTTTTTTTTACAATTTTTGTAAAATTACTGCCCTAAGTCGGTTAGTATATCAGCTAAAGACATGTTTCACAGTCTCTATACTCGCTTAATGATTAAGCGATAACTAAATTAGTGAAAGATTATTTAAAAAATCGTTTAATCACGATTAATCCGATTAATTCCTTCAGCCCAAGTATTCACACTCACCTTCCTCTAGGCTATTTAGGTTATCCCCTTGACACTCATC